CAGCGTGCGGTAACTTGTAGTTTCATCTGGATCAGCGTGCGCGGTGTTTTCCTCCGGGCGTGAGATTAGCCGGGGCTGGGTGCCCTCTCCCCCGCGACTGTGAGTGCCTCCACAGCTTTTAAGTATGTTTGTGCCCGGGTGACTAGGCGCAGCGGCCGGCCGCCTCCTGTTTGCTTTCGCTATCTGGAAACGTGTTGCGGTTGTGACTAACTCTGTCTCGACTGCCCGAGGCCTCCCCCGCTACCTCTCTCCCTCTCTCCACCCCCCCCACCCCGAGCGCGACGAGGAACTGAAAGCGATCCCGAAGTTGCCGAGTCATGCTGAGGCTGGAGTTGCAGGGCGAGGGCAGGCGCGGAGCTGCGTGCCGGGGGCTGTTCTCGGCCGGTGCGAGCGAGAGGAGGGGACGGAGGAGGGAGAGGCCACCGAAGGCTCTGGCTGCGACTCTCGGCTTCACGGCTCTGGAAGGTGGAAGACTCTGACTCGGGACTCCGCAGTTGCAGCCAAAACCGTGGGCGTCTTTGAGCTGGGCTTTTTTTGTTGTTGTTGTTCCTTTTTTATTATTCATATCATTGGAAGTCTTGACGACTTCTCTTCGGGGTGGTTTTCGGCTGAGGCAGCGTCTTTCCCGAGACTGTAGTCCGAATCTGGAGGTGAGTTTGTAACAGCCGTGCGGCTTGACGCGCTCCGCGCAAAACCTTCAAGAAAGGGAAGATCTCACCGGGGCATTGCCACCTGTTAACGCCGGCTGAGTGTCGTCTTCCTCCACCGGGGAAACGCGCTGTTAAAGTCTAACCCTTATTTACGTGGAAAGAGATACTATGCGGATAAAACGTTTACGGCATAACACAGGGTACTTTCAGTTTAGAACAACTTTTTTTGTTCTGGTTAAAATTGCACGCAAGTTTGGGTGAGCGCCGGTTGTGAAAGACACACGCTGGAAATATCTTTACTACCTGTACAGTTTTTGAACAGGCAGTATCTAACGACAAATCTCAAATAGAAGAGTTTTCCCCTCAAACCGTTGAGGCCGTTGCACGCAGTACTGGTTGCATTTTAACTGTCCAGAAGCAGCACGTATCTAATTAAATATTAGTCACTTATCCAAAGAGAACAACTTGTGTTAGGAGTCTGTCTTATCAGCCTTGAATTCCTACTAAACTCTAGATTGACTCACAGTAGGGTGACCTTTAGAGACTGTATGTAGCACTTATCGGTATGTAATATTTATTGGCACTGTACGTCTAGACTAATAACCTTTGTGTGTTCTGTAATAAACGCTGATTCTACAACCCTTTAGAACAGACTAAGTGCAAATCTCCCAAGCAGAAAAAAAAATTAACAGCATCGTGGAGGGGGGAGTGTAATAATTAGCCAGGTCGTTTTAATAAACTTGGAAGATCAGTTTGAGTTGAAGGTTAGAGAAAAAAAAAAAGGCAAAGTGAGTCATTTTGTGGCGGAAACGTCTTCGTCCAGAGTCTTTGCTGACAGAGGAGAATCTCTGAAGCCGTGTGTCACCGGAGCTTTGCTGATCCCGGAGGGCTCTGTGTTGTGGCGTGGACGTGTAGGCGGTAGCTATTTTCCCTTGCTGAGCTGGGCTCTCAGCCACTGCTTGTGCTGGAGGCAGCGGTAAATTTGAATACGGGACGAGGTCACGCCCCCTGTGGTTGCTTGGCCTGCAGGACCTGCAGAAGCACTCTGTCCGATCAGCCCTGCAGGACTGCCAGTCCTGAAAAAGACACTGCTCAACCCCAGCTGCTGTTGTAACGTAGGATTGCAAAGGCGCAGTACGTCAGACTTACTGTGTGTGCTTGCCAGTGTCTTTGTTTTATGCATTTTATTTGCAAAACCAGCAGCCGTGTCACCCTGTCCTCACAACTGGCAGCCCACTGGAGCCCAGCAGGTATGACCCTGGCCAGTACCTGGATGGGAGACTCCTGTTGCTGGAAGAGGTGTTTAGAGGGTAGATGGATAGATGAGACTTTATTGATCCCGAAGGGAAACTGATGTGTTATAGCAGTCCAGCCCAAAACCAGCAAAAACAGACATCAGAATAGACGAAAAAGTATACAAAATAAATATAAAATAAATAAATAGGTGTGTGCAAAATATGATGATCATAGTCACTGTAAAAAAACAATAGAATATGTGCAAAATGTGCATAGGCTTATACAGAATGATTGTTCAAAAAGTATAATGGAGCAACATCTTGTCCATAGATGAGCAGATGAAGGGCTAGCAGTCCTAGCCTAGGGCAGTGTTATACACCCTGACAGCCGCCGGGAGGAAAGACCTGTGGAAACGTTCCCTTGAACACCGCAGCTGGGGCAGTCTGTGTCTAAAAGTGCTCTGCTGTCTAATAACAGTCCCATGAAGCGGATGAGAGACGTTGTTGATGATGGCGGTGAGCTTGGTCAGCATTCTCCTCTCAGCCACCACCTCCAGGGGGTCAAGGCTCAGCCCCAACACAGAGCCAGCATTCACGATGAGTTTATTGAGCCTATTTGCATCTCTTGTCATGATGTTGCCCCAGCACACAACAGCATAGAAGATGGTCCAGTAGGGGGCGCTCACCCTGTGGTCTGTGTGGATCCTAATGCCCCAGTATAGTGACGGGGACACTGTACTGTAAAAAGGGGCCGTCCTTCGGATGAGACGTAAAACCGAGGTCCTGACTCTCTGTGGTCATTGAGTGTTTCTAAAAAAAAAGTAGGGGAGTTACCCCGGTGCCCTAATAACCCCCATCTCTGAACTGGCTTCATCACTCTGCTCTCCTCCCCACTGAGAGCTGGTGTGTGGGGAGCGGACTGAATCATCACCCAGGTGGGGGTACACACTGGTGGTGGTGGAGGGGATCCCCATGACCTGTATAGCGCTCTGAGTGGAGTGTCCAGAAGAGCTAATTAAGTGTGAGGAATTCTTTCTTATTAAATGTGCACTGGAGCTGCTGCGTGTGGAATACCTCCTTCATTATTGGGCTTCAGCGAGCGTCACTTGCTCTGCAGCAGGTTTAACAGGTCTAGATCTGGTGCAGAGGCAATTACAGGGCTGGCGAACAGTTAACCGAACATATGAAGTGCAGCCCGGAGTCCCAGCAGTTTCCAGGGCGGGTCGTCCCCGTGCCTGCTGTGTGTGTGGTGTGGAGTGCGCTGTGTGTGTGGTGTGGAGTGCCCTGTGCGTGAGTGTTCAGCTCTTGCACAGCGGTGAGCGTGCTCTGAATCACAGCTTGGGTGCAAATCCAGTCATACCTCTGGCACCCAGAAGCAGAAGCAACGCCTTTATTTGTTCCAAACCTGCACCGTTTATGCTGAATCACCTGGCCTGAGAGGCAATGACTGAGTCGGATGATCTGTACGTTGCTGCCAGGTGATCCTTTCAAGAAAATGAAAGAACCTGCCACCGTTTCATGCCGATGTGACTGGCTTGGGTGAACCCGGGTTCGAAGCTCGCCGACACCAGCTGGCAAGCTCAGACGGGAGGGGGTCACAGACTGGTGCATGAGGGAAACTGATTTTGAAACCTGCTGAAAAGCCTTTGCATTGCAGACTGTGGTATTGAGTCACTCTGGACCGCTAGTAGCAGCAAACCCATGGTTTAATGCCACGAATTCCATGTTTGGAAGACGTTTTAAAAATATTTAATGGAAAGCTCTCTGCCAGATTGGCAGAGGCGGTGGATCTCCGAGCAGGATGTTGCCTGCTGCAAATCATGTCGCAGAATGACTTTGAGTTCTGCCGGGTGTGTAGTCCCCCCGTTAGCTCCCGATGTGATGTAGTGAGTGGAGATTCCCTGGTGCAGGGGTTTCTCCTGGATGGATCGGGATCAGCGCGGCGCTGGGTGAGCCTCACCCGGGGCCGGAGGCCTGGGAGGGGGGACGGGGGTGGTGGATGAACAGTCCGAGGTGCAAAAGCAAGTGGGCAGACTCCACAGGGCTGTACGGGTGGGGGAGGGACGGGGCACCCACTTCACCTCTGCCACCCTGGGCATGTGCTGACTGTGCCAGTTGGAGTGGCGGCTGCCCCTGCACCCTGGCGTGGGACCTTTGGATTCTCTGAAAAACCAGAGGGGCACGGGTGGTCTGCTGCAGTCATCCCTCCTGTGGCGCATTAACAACCCGTGATGCAAGAGCGAGGTCAGAAGTTCAGTGAGGCGAGCAGTTGACAGATCATCTGACTGGATTACAAGTGCCTTTTCCCTTATTTGTTCCAGGTTATGTTATACGGCCAGAAGTGAGAGGCAGGTCTGGTTAATGTTTAGCGTGCAGCCGAGCTGACGGGGGTGTATACGGGCACAGTTATGGGGTACAGGAGGTGGGACTCCAGTGGGGTGGTATAAAAGCAGGGCGACACGATAAGCCTGCCATCGTGGGAGGGGGCTGCCTTGAACATGAAGCTCCGGATCTTGTATCCAGGCTGTCCTGGCTAGACGGGGAACGCTGCTGAAAAAACGTTGATAGTTGGGTTTGTATGTATTCCCGGCTTCCAGTTGACGTGTGTAATTTTAATTGGCAAAAAGGTTAAACATCAGTATAATATAAGGGACAGGGAAGAATGTAGCTGATTAATCACCGTACACTAATAGTTGTTCCTAGTCTTGTTCCTGGTTAAACGCTGTCTGTTTGTAGATCTACTTGCTTGATTTTAGACTTCTGATCTTTTTTGTCTTAGTGTCATTGTGACCTTACTTTAAGGGCAGCGTCTCTACCAGCTTCCACGCACGGCCTGTCCTCGACTTGCTTGCTGTCATTTGACTCTCTCAACTCACTCTTGCTTGTTGATCAGTTGACGAACAACCACACCCCGCGTGGGAGGGGCGCTGTGTTGGACATGCCCCCGCGTGGGAGGGGCACTGTGTTGGACACGCCCATAAAGGTGCATTCTCCCTTTCTGCCGGGATCCATTTGGTTACATTTCAGGTGGTGCACCTGAATGATGGAAATCAATACGGGGGTGATGCTGAATGGGATCTGACATTGACCTCTTATAAGCAGGAAGCAGAAACCAGAAGAGACTGTTCCTCTAGGACCAGGGCTGGCAGCCACTAGTTTAAAGAGAGGACTGAGGAGTTCAGATTGATCAGTGGGTCTCCTAGTCTTTGTTTTGAAAGATTCTAGGGAGGGGATCTATTTCAACTTACCACTTCTCGTGCACAGAAGGTCTGCCTGTTCTCGGTCCCAGATGAACAGTCTTCCTGCAAGACACTGCTGGCATGAGGCTCAGGCGCCTGACTCACGCAGAGGAGCGTCGGAGGTTCTGGGGGCTGGGAGTTGCTGGAGTCGAGACTGACTCACTGTGGGGCTCTGACTCAGCCCATCTTGCTGTTGGCATAGACCTTGTTCTGTTGGGTTTTTTTAATCTTTCTGTTAAAGAGAAGTCTGTCTAGCTCTTATTTCTGTTTGTGACGGATTCAAACCTTCAATCTGCTTGCCAGTGCCAAATTATCTATCTTGTACCCCATAGCGTTTCCCAAAGGGAGGTCCTTCCTTCTGTCCAATGGAGCCCATGAGTGTCCTGTACTGAATCTCATTGGCCTTTTCTGCTCCCTAAAAGAGGGGTGCTAAACCTTCTCGGTTTCTGCCCTCGTGCTCTAAAGCAGTTCCTCTTGGTTTCAGGTTGGCCTGCTGCTGGTACGGGTTCCTGCACGGCGCTGCTGGAACTCCCCAGGGCGGACTTTTCCCAGCATCCCCAGAAAAATCGCCAAGACGGGGGTGTTGTCTCGCTGGAGGGACCTTCAGAGAACAGCGTAACGGTGTCAAAATTCCAGTCGTTTTCTCCCTCTCTTTAACGAGGCGTTGAGCCAGAGGGGCTTCTGATCAAGACCCAGCAGTGGCTGCAGATCGAGGCAGGGGCCGCTCACTGCAAGGAGGCATGCTAGGGCTGAAGGGTTCTGGGTAGGTTGGATGCCTGCCATGCCTCTGGGTTTTTTGGAAGAAAGCCACCATGTTACCCCTCTAAGCCAAGAAAGAATTTGGTGGCCAATCGACTCCCGTTGATCAGCTTCTGTATCTATTTTTCTTCATGATCCGCGGCCGAGTATAGGCAGCCTTAGATACCCACCACCCCCTCCCTGCCCCCTTCTCCCGGCGCAAGAGTGCGCGAGGCCAGAGGGCCCGCGGGGGGAGGATGATGTGCCAACGGAAGAGGAAGACCACCAGAGGTGAGGATTTCTCTGCCATCGCTGTCCCGTCCATGAAGGGCCATGGCTACCTGGACTACACCATCGAGAACCACCCCTCCAAGGCCCTGAAGATCATGGATGAGTTCCGGAGGCACGGGCTCCTCTGCGACCTGGTCCTCCACGTGACCTACAAAGACACGCAGGAGGACTTCAAGGTGAGTCTCGCCCTGTGGGGAAGACGAATCCGTTGCTCAGACCGTGTGAGCTGTGGGCTCGTGGGCGAGCTGCGCTGACGAAGCCGAGATGCAGTGCACACAGTGTTCTGCGTTTGTTTGCAAATTCTGTTGACGACTAGGTAACACCGCTTAGAAATATCTACAGTAGCTCTTGTTGACTCGACCTGACAATGGCCAAACTCCTGCGACTTATAATGCATTGTGCCAGGCTAGCAGACAGATGGATCCCATACTAAAATTAAGTTCCAGAAAGTCTGGTAGATGGTTAGTTCCATCCATGGCTTATTGGCACAGAGTAATTGTGCTGCGTGTCCCTGGGGCTTTTACTTTCTCCATCTGTGTTCACACACACCACATCCTCAGGGGATTAACATCGTGCTCATCTTTCCGAGTATTGTCACTAACCACTTATTGCAATCATGTGCCGAAGCACCCAGCTGATCACTTTTTATCTAATTACTGAACAGCACATCATCGATTAATTCTCCCATGTAAACACTACAGCAAATCAAACATGTATGCTATAGTTAATATTCAATTATTCCGATTGTAGGAATAGAACCTTCATTGCTAATTTAATTTTTTCCCTGCATATCAAGAAGTAACGTTTCCCTTATGGTCCACGAGCTGCTGCTAAACTGTCTGCCTCCCCCCCTCCTTGATCGGCACACGCGCCTGGGGCATTTCATGGTTAATAAACCCCAGTGAGCCTGCAGGTCTCCCCCCCCACCCCCGTCCCCGCCAACACCACTAGGGAAGAGGTCGAGAGAGGCTGGCTTCCATCTTGGGTAGAAGATGGGCTTCACACTGCAGCTCCACAGCTGTGTTCTGAACACGGTCGTCTTGCAACTTCATGAAAAATGCTTTGCTCTCTGGAAGCTTCGTCAAGCATGTCATGAGAGCTAGTTAGTCTTACACAGTAGTCTTATTTTCTGTTTTTATACTTGTTTAATATCGAATTGGTGTAAGAGGTTAGTAGGGGGGTTGGTAAGGGTTCTAGGGTCAGATTTGGCGTGACCTGCTACTCGAGGTCAGTTGCGATTCGACTGTGTTTATAGCTCGTGACCTGGGACGGTCCCCGGCTGCAAGGCCAGACAAGAGCTCCGCCGGGCTTGGTCCGGACGTGACCTCCTCCCTTCCCGCCGCAGGTTCACAAGGTCGTCCTGGCCTCCTGCAGCCCCTACTTCAAGGCCATGTTCACCAGCAGCTTCCGGGAGTGCCAGGCCTCGGAGGTGACGATCCGCGACGTGTCCCCCCGCGTCATCGAGCGGCTCATCGACTTCGCCTACACGGCCCGCGTGACGGTGGGCGAGGCCTGCGTGCTGCACGTGCTGATGGGCGCCATGCGCTACCAGATGGAGGACGTGGCCAAGGCCTGCTGCAGCTTCCTGGCCCAGCACCTGGAGCCCGCCAACGTCATCGGCATCACCAGCTTCGCCGAGGACATCGGCTGCCGGGAGCTGCACCTCAAGGGGCGAGAGTACATCAACACGCACTTCAGCGAGGTGGGGCCGCCGGCGCGTTCCCGCCCCCGCGGTGCGCCGAGGGGTTGACCAAAGGGCCGCCACGTGCGCGGATAGCCGAGAGATCGGATGCCCCTGGAAAAAAGCAAATTCATTTTCTTATCCCAAAATACAGGGAACCAGAAGTCAACGTTCGTATTCCAATCGAAGGGGGTGGGGAGAAACCCAGGCAAACTAACTGCCTAACTGTCAGGATGGCCGAGTGGTCTAAGGCGCCAGACTCAAGGACTCCTGTTTTTCCAATGCTTGGGTGTTCTGGTCTCTGAATGGAGGCGTGGGTTCAAATCCCACTCCTGACAGCTACTGTCTGTGACCTCGTAGCGCAACGGTAGCGAGTCTGACTCCAGATCAGGAAGTTGCGTGTTCAGATCACGTCAGCTATTAGGTTTTCAGGTTCCGCTGGTGCTGAACCCGGAATTCTCCCCATGCAGTTGAGTTTTTTAGGGCGGAACTGGCTCTGTGGCTCAGGATCTGCGCCTGTGGCTGGAAGGTTGCCGGTTCAAATCCCGCGGCCGGCAGAGGAATCCTACTCCGTTGGGCCCATGAGCAAGGCCCTTAACCCCAGCTGCTCCAGGGGCGCTGTACAATGGCTGACCCTGCGCTCTGACCCCCAGCTTCTCTCCCTGTCTGTGTGTCTCATGGAGAGCAAGCTGGGGTCTGCGAAAAGACGAATTCCTAATGCAAGAAATTACCAGAAATCATTCACCCCATATCCGATCTCTCAGGGCCTCCTTGCAGTCTTTTAAATGCTCCCACCTCATCTACTTAATGAATTAATTGGCAGCACCTGGAAAGAAGAGAACACAGTTAGAATAACGCCTCCGACCGAGACGACCAGCGCCTCCTGCTGGTGGGGGCGGCTGTCCGCGTGGCGGCTGGGCTCTCCCGGTTTTTTTCCTTCCCGTTTCGGCCCCCCCCCCCTGGGCTCCTGCGGGTGCTGTCGCTGTCGCAGCTGTCCTGCTCCCGGGGGGGGCTCACTGGCAGGGCCCTGCCGAGGTGCCCCCCCCCCAGGAACCGCCAGCGCGGACGAGGACAGAAGGGGTTTCCTGTCGGCGGGGTACCTCAAAGAAACAGTGGAACTGCCAGGGCAGGAGAAACGGGCGGTCGGGAAGGGAGAAAGATTGAGAAAGGGAGCCGCTTGCTGGCTTCTGCAGCTTTTCCTGGAGAGCTGGCGCTGGTTCGCCCACAAAATAGGAAGTCTGTGACCCAGCTGCTGTAATAAAGACAGATGGGTCTCCTGCTGGGATTGTTGGGTTCGGAGTCTCGCTCGGCACGTGTGTGTGGTTGAGTAGGAGACCCTCGTCTGACACGATCCTGCTCTCACTGCCTTGCTGACAGTGCCTGTAGGCAGGCAGTGGGTTGTGGCTGCTTGTGTTCACATTAGGCCTCTCTGGATTCCCTGACCGCCTTTTCTTTCCCATGATGTTATCCCGCTGTCTGTCGGCGCCCAGGGCTCCGTTTCCAGCCCGTGCTGGCCTCTCGCTCTGCAGCTTTTACCTTCCCTGCGCAAGTCAAGCACGGGCGTATACAAGGCTGGAAATAGGTGACGCTGCATTAGGAGACGAGTCGTGGGTGACTGGAATGGACAGCCAGCTATCCCAGGGTCCTTCAGGAACCCAGCTGGCTTGACTCAGCTCTATCACCTTGCAGCTCCCAGCTGGCAGCCCAGCAGGTGTGAGCCTGGCCAGTACCTGGAGGGGAGACTCCTGGGAAAAACGAAGGCTGCTGCTGGAAGAGGTGTAAGTGGGACCAGTAGGGGGCGCTCACCCTGCAGTCTGTCAGTGGGTCGTAATGCCCCAGTATAGTGACGGGGACACTGTACTGTAAACAGGCGCCGTCCTTTGGATGAGATGTAAAACCGAGGTCCTGACTCTCTTTTTCGTAAAAAATCCCAGGGTGTTTCTCGAAAAGAGTAGGAGTGTTACCCCAGTGTCCTGGCCAAATTTCCCCCCTGGACTTTACCAGTCATGGCCTCCTAATAATCCCCATCTCTGAACTGGCTGCTGTTGCATCATCCAGGTGGGGCGGCACACTGGTGGTGGTGGAGGGGATCCCCATGACCTGTGAAGCGCTTTTGAGTGGAGTGTCCAGAAGAGACCTGCATAAATGTGAGAAAGGCGCTAAGTGGGAGTGGGCTGCCTCTGGTTCGTGTCTCACCCTCCTCCCTTGCTGCAGGTGACGAAGGAGGGGGAGTTCTTCAACCTGTCCCACTGCCAGCTGCTGGACCTCATCAGCCAGGACAGCCTGAAGGTGCTGTGCGAGTCGGAGGTGTACAAGGCCTGCATCGAGTGGGTGCGCTGGGACGTGGAGGGCCGCGCCCAGTACTTCCACGCCCTCCTGAACGCCGTCCACATCTACGCCCTGCCCCCCAAGTTCCTCCAGGCCCAGCTGCAGGGCTGCCCCATCCTCAGCAAGGCCAACTCCTGCCGGGACTACCTGTCCCGGATCTTCCAGGAGATGGCCCTGCGCAAGCCCCTCCCGCCCGCCCGCCACCGCGGCAACCAGCTCATCTACGTCGCCGGGGGCTACCTGCGGCACTCGCTGGCGGTGCTGGAGGCCTACGGGCCCGGCGCGCGCCGCTGGATCCGGCTGGCCGACCTGGCGGAGCCGCGGAGCGGGCTGGGCGCCTGCGTGCTGTTCGGCCTGCTCTACACGGTGGGCGGCCGGAACAACTCCGTGCAGGAGAACACGGACTCGGCCGCGCTGCACTGCTACAACCCCATGACCAACCAGTGGACGCGGCGGGCCGCGCTCAACGTGCCGCGCAACCGCGTGGGGGTGGGCGTGGTCGACGGCAGCATCTACGCCGTGGGGGGGTCCCACGGCTCGGCCCACCACCGCAGCGTGGAGAGGTGAGTGCGGGGAGTGGGTAGTTCTCCAGGTCTAGTAATCGGAGACGGGGAAACATCCGGCTCTCCAAAGTTTGGTCGCCTTCTCGGGAGCCAGCCGGTCCTGGTCGGATCTCGTCCCGCTGTTTCCTAGGAGAAGCCAGCTTGTTCCAGACTCCCGCACCCCTTTGTGTAAAGACGACGACTCTGGTTCTCTCCTTTTAAATACACATCCCTTGAACCCCACATGGCACTGACCTTTGAGTGTTTCTTGATCCATGTGGTTCATTTCTTTCACCTGCCTGCCTTCCTTTGACCCCAGAGATGTGTTTGGTTGCTCTTCCCTGAACTGATTCCAGAGCAGAAGTATCTTTTTCTGTGTGGTTTTGAGACCAGATTTACACCCAACATTGTAAATAAGGTCTTACTAGTGCATCATATACAGTTTTAACAAAGCATCTGTTAATCTTAGTTCTGCACATGCAGGAGGGTTCTGTAAGCATCATACTTTATTAGGTTTTGCCCAGAGTGCTGTGTTGTAACTTCTGAGCCCGAGGAAGCTGGAAATCGGTGCCTTTAGGGAAACTGTCTTTATGCTACGGAGAGCTATGCATCGACCAGTCATGTCTGCTGGCTCTTGTCGGAGGTAACGTCAGGGTCTGGTCGTCAGCTGGGATGACTCAGAGATGCAATGTGCAAGTCATTTCCTGGCAAACGTGTGCTGGAAAACAGTGCCCGATTCATTCTGGTCTCCCAGGAATGTAAGTCTATTTAGTAGAAACTGGCTGGAAACTGGGTGCCAGTGATACAGCACTAGTTTACAGTCAGTGGTACTACTTCAGACGGAGTTCCAAAATCTCTTGTTGTGATGGTGGCTGTCTAGGTGTAGTTAAAGGATCTGCCACTTCTAAAACGAACTTTCCTAATTACCATGGCATATTGTCTGCGCAGCACTATATTCTGTGATTCAGAACGTAGCAACAAAACTCCCAGTGAGGTGAAGCAGCCCTATTACACTGTGAACCAGCAGGCTCATGAATCCACCTCTTTTAATCCAATAGGAATATTGCTCTCAACTTTGAGATGGTTTTGCCGACAAATGCTACTTGTTAACTCTTCCAACATGATCTGCATGCACATCTGCATGAAAAGTCTGCTGCACAACCTGTACTAATGTGCTCATTCATCACATTGCATTAGTCATTAGAGTGACTAGTGAGCAGGAAGGGCCAAGGGGTTTGTGACCAAATGGCAACTCCTAAAGTTCACGATTTTGTGCTCAACTCCAAATTTGTCCAATCTGTAACTCGGGGCGCGTGGCTGCCTGGCGCATGCTGATGTAACCCTTCGCCCCTCCTCTCACAGGTACGACCCCGAGCTGAACCAGTGGACGCTGGTGTCCCCGATGACGGTCCCGCGGCTCGGCGCGGGCGTGGCCGCCTGCGGGGGGCAGCTGTACGTGGTCGGGGGCTTCGATGGCGAGAACCGCTGGAACACGGTGGAGCGCTATCACCCCGAGACCAACTCCTGGCACAGCGCTGCCCCGATGGCCTCTGTGCGCAGTGGCGCAGGTGAGCTGAGCTGGCACACGAGCCGAACTGCACTTCCCATTCAACTGGTGCCTAATGCCTTCAAAAAAACATTATAATAATAATAATTGCTTACACTTATATAGCGCTTTTCTGGACACTCCACTCGGAGCTCTTCACAGGTAATGGGGATCCCCTCCACCACCACCAATGTGCAGCCCCACCTGGATGATTGAGGCAGTTTGAAACGACCAGCCTCAATCCTGACGGGAAAACATTTCATCTTTCTTCCTGAAGCCTTATTGCAGTGTTATCGTGTCTTCTGGCACAGGACCTCCCAGCTGTTTCAAATGAGGGATTCCTTTAAAATCAAGAGCTCCGTTGGAACAAATCACCCAGTGATTTGCCGATTAGACCTTGGATCGTCTTAAGCTCCTCGAGGAGAGTTCAGATTAAGGGAGCGTGCTGGGTTGCATGGCTTTATCGTTCCACTGTGCACCCCTGTCCCAGGTGTGGTGTGTCTGGGCGGCTACATCTACGCGGTGGGAGGGTACGATGGCTCGGCACAGCTCAGCAGCGTGGAGCGTTACAATGTGGCCCTGGACTGCTGGGAGCCCGTGGCCCCCATGAGGAACTGCAGGAGCGCCCATGGAGTCGCCGTCTACCAGGGCAAGATCTACGCGCTGGGTGAGCAGAGCCGATCGTTCGGAGGAATTCTGGGGGAAGATGGCCGTGAAGTGCATTAAAGCGCATGTTTCTCTTCCTGAAGTTAATTGAAGTTTTTTTTTTCCCCCAGTGATGCAAGTCTGTTTCTGCAGTTCCAGTAATCTTCGCCTGTTGCGTTTGTTCAGGATGTGGCCCGTCCTAAAACGTGTTTAAGCTATGTTCGGCAGACTGGCTTTGTGCTGGGTCTCGCGATCCTGGGCTGTTTTGTAAGCGTCCCTGTCCCATTCCAGGCGGCTTCAATCAGTCGGGCTTCCTGTCGAGCGTGGAGTGCTACAGCCCGGAGACGAACGAGTGGGCCGCCGTGGCCGACATGCCCCTGGGGCGCAGCGGGATGGGCGTGGCCGTCACCATGGAGCCCTGCCCTGGCAACCTGGAGGAGGAGGAGGAGGAGGGGGAGGAAGAGAACGGGTGACCACGAGGGATAAACTTCACCCAGGGCGATGCCGGTTTAGGGATCTGGCACGTGGGGAGGCCGATACCTGGCTTGCAGGCATGGGGAGTTAATGAAAGACACAAGAAGCTGTCTGAAAAGGGAAGATCACCGTTCTTTACCAAGCTCATGAATGCCTGCATTTAAAAAGCTGGGTCACACTCCTTCTGCTCAGTCTTTATTCCCTTTTCTGCACTTGCACCCCAGGAGCTCTGGCCTGAACCCCAGAGCCTTGTACAGTAATTGAGTTGACTCTCCCCTCCCCCCTGCAAAGCTGGGTTTTACCTTGCTTGGTACCCTGCAACACACGTTGCGTCTGAAACAGTGTTCAGTCCCCTGGGCAGCGTGCAGGACTAGCTTACACTTCAGATGTACAGGGGCTCTCCTGCTCGCTGCCCAGAGCTGGACTGCAGCAGTGTGGCCAGCCTGCGCTGACCACTCTCTCTCCTCCTGTCGGCCTCGGACCACACCGCCCCTCTCCGCAGGCAAAGGCAAACATCTGGAGCAGCTGGTGCGCCCCCTGCAGGCGCTCAGAGGCGCAGGCCTGCCTGGTTGCCGAAGCTGTCGCTGCTAAGGACTGTAGGACAGAGACACTTGAGCTGACCGGGTGACACGCTGGTTAGTGTCCATGTCCAATTCCTGAATGAAGATTTTCTCAACGCACCTCAGCATCTTCAGGGTATACGTTTTGTGTAATTTATTTGTTTCTGTACAGTAATGGAACTCATCTGTGTTATTCACAGACTATATTTTATGTCATTGCTAAATTAAAGGTGCAAATTACAGTAAATGTGTGTGTTAGTTTTTGGTGGGGGGGGAGACTTGGAACAGATTATTTCCACGCGGGGAAGTTGGATTAAAAGATAAACTTTCCGGCTATAGAGCCTGTTCAGCTCTGTACAGAAGTTAAGAGCTCCTTAAACTTTTAGTATCTAAAGAATACAAATTTATATGTCCCGAGAGACAATATCCTAGGCAAGAAATGCTAGAATATAACACCCCCTTTCAGAATGCAGTATTGTAGTGCTGGTTGAAAACAATTTCTGGTATAAGGGCCATGAACGGCGATACCACTGGCCAGCAGCCATATCACCCTGCAACACACAACTACATAGAAGCCCAGCAGGTGTGAGCCTGGCCAGTACCTGGAGGGGAGACTCCTGGGAAAGCTGAGGCTGCTGCTGGAAGAGGTGTAAGTGGGGCCAGTAGGGGGCGCTCACCCTGCAGTCCTGTGTGGGTCTTAATGCCCCAGCATAGGGGACACTATACTGTAAACAGGTGCCGTCCTTCGGATGAGACAAAACTGAGGTCCTGACTCTCTGTGGTTATTAAATATTCTAAGGTTGTTTCTCGAAAAGAGTAGGGGAGTTACCCCAGTGTCCTGGCCAAATTTCCCCCTGGCCCTTACCCATCATGGCCTCCTCATAACCCCCCTCTCTGAACTGGCTTCATCACTCTGCTCTCCTCCCCACTGAGAGCTGGTGTGTGGGGAGCGGACTAGAGCATCATCCAGGTGGGTGTGGAGGGGATCCCCGTTACCTGTACAGAGCTTTGAGTGGAGTGTCCAGAAAAGCGCTATAGAAGTGTGAGGAATTATTATACTTGACTGGACACCTGACCAGACCAACAGAGACTCTCGGACATCCATGGGCCCTGGGCAGTAGTCCAAGTGAAGCCGGGTTTCTGTGTTTATGGTGATGGGCTGCACGAGCAGAATTTGACAAGACAGTCCTGTTAAAGAGGTTTGACATTCCTGTGGGACTTGATCATTTTACTGGGTCAGATGCTAATTTTAACTGTTAGTGGGAAGGTTTTTTTTTTACCGTTTACTTTGAATTTAATCTGCCCTCTGTTTCTAAGAAGATCGCGAAGTAAGCAAGATTGTGAGAGGGGCTGCCTGCTTGCTCTAACGCTGAACATGAGGGCAGCGGTATCATTAGTAGTGTTCGGCGCCCGCTGCCAGTGTTAACTCTCCCAGCAGGGGCCACCAGAGGTCTTGAGCTGAGCGTGAAACTTTCGGCTCAGTGCTGCTACTGATCCTACAGTAGATCCAATATGCTACTATGCGTCTAATTAAGCGTTTTTCTGTAGTGTTCCTTCGTATGTTCTTGTTTTGATTAAGTCTAATTGTTTGTCATTGTCCGTTTTCCTTACGTAAACGAGTGCAGAATGATGAGAAACACTGCATTAGCAGTGTTACACAGCCACCGGCTCATTACAATGGAGCAGATTTCAGACACAAATCATCCGAATAGTAAATAGGTGGAACTTTGTATTTCCATGCCTACCGGGGACTTTTTTTAAGCACCCTCATTTAAAATGATTTGAATAATTTACAGAGGTATACATATGTACACTTAGGCGGCGTGCATGCGAGAACAATGGCGTTTTTCATAATGTACATTTAGGCCAGAAACGCAATTTTACTAAGGCCACTAGGTGGAGCTCGTGCATTTATCAATGGTCCTCTGCGTGCCTCCTGTATCGTGAAAAGCTCAAGACGTGTTTCCTTCTGAAGTCGCTATTTATGTCAAATTACATGTTGTCTCTCTAACAATATTTTTAGTTTGTATTTCTGGACGTCAGAATGCTATCAGCCAGTCAGCTCTTTGAATCACCTTCTACTGATAGCATGTCCAGGACTGAGGGGGGAAAACAAATGAGAAGGCAGATTAATTTAATAAAAGGGCGAGGTGACATTTTAAAAATAGCTTTTTGGGCCAGGCAGTTTTCGTCATAAAACCGCACTGAGTGCTGTTTCCTGTGTCACACAATTCTGTGGACGAGGCTCTGAATGCTACACAGCACAATGAGGTGTCTGGCATAATTACTGTTCTTCAACTGCAGTTTCTACAGTCGTGTAATAGGCGTCTTTCAATTTGTTACGAAAAAGTTGAATCCCATCTGAATTTTTGCTGTCTTTGAATGTCTTACCTGTTGAATAGAGCATGCATCATCAATCTATTACCTTACAACTTTATACAAAGAGTTGTGGGAGGATGGAGCAGCTGACAGCTGGTTTCATTCAAGAAAAACCTGGGTCTTTCAATAATTTAATTAATAACCAAATGGGCTGGATGGATTCTTCCTCTGGTCTGTAAGCTTTCACATGTCCTTATGCTGCATATTCTAGGAGAGGGTCTTGGGACTGTAGCTCAGAAACAGAGGGCGCAAGGCAGAATACACCCTGGACAGGACACCAGTCTACCTTGCTGGCCCAGTTATGGCCCCTACCTGATTGTCTCTAGTGGGGAATATAGCTTTAAAATAATGGTTGTAAATATAGCTAATACTGAACAGCCCAGGACTGGTGCCATCAGCTGTGTTCTGATGCACACGAGCCCTGGGCCCAGGCCAAGACTCACAGCCTTGTGTGCAATGTGTCAGAGACTGGAGGAAGTGTTCTCCATCCCAGACTGTTATTCCTTAGTCTGCTCCCTAGGAATGTATTATTGATTTCATGGGTTTTTATTTAAAAGTGTGTCTGATGGTGAGGTCCCACTGTTGGGCGGGTAGTGGGGTGGCCAGGCAGGTGCTGCGCAGTGCTCTGAAGCTCATTCCTGAAATGGCAGGCATGCTGCATCATGGTTCTGTTGCTTCTGTTTCTTTTTGCCATCGAGAAGACTTTTGTTTTCCCCCACCATGCCTTCATTTTTGCTGGATCAATCAGACGGCAATGGAGAACAGCCCAGATTACACATGCGTTATTTTTGCTAACCAATTTATCCAATTCAGGGGCACCAGAGAGGGTAGAACCTGGACGGGCCGTCAGTCCACCGCAGGGCATACAGACACAAACACAGACACACACACAAACACAGACACAGACACACACACACACACCCAGGGCCACTTTTCCCAGAAGTCTTTGGAGCAGCCGCATGAGAGGCTGAGAAGAACATGCAAACTCCACACAGATAGCCTCTCAGGTCCAGTATTGACAGGGCTTCAGCGCTGTAAGGCAGCGATGCTAACCACTGCGGCAGCACACCACCCCCGTATTACACATGTAGTCCAGAAATAATGGATGAATCGGCAGCACAATTCACGCAAGGCGAGAGTCCTTTCAGGAACAGGCAGGTAGTTTAATCTCTCATAATGACTTTGGAGGGCAAATTTGTTTTGTATGTTATTAAATATCTAATGGAAACACTTTAGGTGGTTATTAATAATGAAGTATGGTTTCCTGTTGTAAAGTGGTGGCTGAGTCTGTAATGAATTCATTGGGAAGACAGAAGGAATTGACTTTTGAACTCGAATTAGTCGGCATGAATTTGATTGTGACAGAGGACAATGGGCTAATCACATTGCTCACAATCCCTTGTACAATTTACATTGGACTCGTGGATTTAAGGTCGAAGTCCTTATTTGTCCCCTGCATTTAATTCATTATATATCTATGAAGTATGTTAAATAATGCTGAATTTGCAAAACTAGGATCTAGGGCATTAACAGTCTGATTGCTAATGAATTAAGCACATTGTATTGTCTGTCTTGAACACATGGTCAGGAGCATAAATAGCTTACTCAATTTATGAGTCAGCACTGCTAATATAAAAGCAGGATCATTTTCCAAAGAAGGTAAGGTAGTTTGGCTATTTTGCTAATATTTACCTGGTTATGTGTGCATATTGGCAATTAACTACTGTATATACTTTCAGAATGGTACTGCTGATTAAGGATACCGGGATGACATCATATCCACAGTATGTATTTAATGTCCATTTAACCTTTTTTTTTCAAAACTTCTTAGTGTACATCTATGAATTGGCTTCATTACTCTGCTCTCCTCCCCACTGATAGCTCATGTGTGGTGAGCGATCTGGCGCACTGTGGCTGCCGTCGCATCATCCAGGTGGGGCTGCACATTGGGGGTGGTGGAGGGGAGTCCCCATTACCTGTAAAGCGCTTTGAGTGGATTGTCCAGAAAAGCGCTATATAAGTGTAAGCAATTATTATTATTATTATTATTATTATTATTATTATTATTACTGTTGATACTAGGTCCTATGACAAGGTGAGTCAAATGTCTGATTTCCCAAACCCCTCCAGTATAGAATTTGTGTGCATCTAGTTCTTTACTTAAGCAATTCATTCATTTCTAAGAGTTGGTTGTATAAAAGACACGCACTGGGATGGATCGGAAGGTCCTAGAATTGCCCAGCTGCTTCGGTAGTGGCCAGACCGGTCCGTTTCGATGCCCAAGCTTGTGTCTTCTGCTCTGGTGTTGCCTCCAGCCCAGCGGACCAAGTGTTTGAAGCCATGGTCAGCCCTCGGGCAGGACAGGCTGTAACAGGTGGGTACTGTAGTACCTAGAAAGGTACTGTGACATAAGAAGGTCATTTGTGAAACGTTTCTCACACGAGTCGCTCAGCTGCGGGAGTCGGGAGTTCTCGGAATGGTTAGTTTCCCGGCCCACACGACGGAGGACAGCATTCCAATTCTCCGAGAGACGGTGCTTGTTCCTGGAGAGCGTTGCCGCACCCTCCCAACCGCAGGGTGAAGGCCGAGCTCCCCCGATCTCGTTGTCCTTTTCTTTAATGGGCTCGTTGGTTTTATTCTCCTGCGGCCTTTCCGTCGAACGTTTGGGATGAATCGCGAATTTGGTAGACAGAGTTGCTGGGAAGGACATCACTATTTATCCAGGCAACTGTGGCTCGCTTTTTGTAAAGAACTCGCAGACTCTTGTCATTGAATGTAATTGGGAGGTGGTGAAACTGGAAATAAAAGCATCACCTTCTCAATCAGGCAATTATCCTGCTGGCCATACAGTAGGGGTCCCC